TGGATCACTATTGCAGACGGTTGTTCTTTCTCTTTTCTACCTTGTGCAGTCACAATGCATTGTTGATTTTCCATTGGCTTTCGGATCACGAAAGTGCAATTCTGGAAAACAGCAAGTGCATTTCCGAACACAAAGTCGATGGTACCAGAAATGGTGCAATCCCTGTAATACTGACGCAGGGCGTGTACGTAAAGTGTGTCTTGATACCCATCCATTGAACAATTGTAGAACACAGACTTGTCTGCTTGAACTCTCAATGCCACTGCCTGATGCTTCTCGGCTCCAGCAGAGTTCTCAAATCCCATGTTCATGCCCACAAAGTTATCTCCTTGAATAGCTGCACGAATATCGGTTATATTTTTATGATTTTACTCTTAAAAAACATTTTTCAATTGGATTGGGTTTATAATTTTTATGATTTTATCCTTAAAAAACATGAAAGAAGACATACCGACTGTGGCAGTTTTATAGGTGGTGACTCCATCTATGTAGTTTTTGTTGCCTGTTATTCTTGTCTTTTTGCCACCGTCACCAATGAAAACCACATGAGTCATATTCTTTTTAACTTCGACATACTCTTGGTAGATGCCCTCCTTGATGTAGATCACAAATGGCGTTTTATTTTTCTTGGGTACTTTGTTCAGTGCTTCGTTGATGGTTTTGAAATCTCCACTGCCATCTTTGGCTACCGTCACATTAGGCTTGCGATTTAATATCAGAGTTTCATTTAGTCCTCCATTATTAACCGATGAGGGTGATTCAGAATCTTGAAAGAGGCGACGTCCCAATAATTTTGTGGCATTCAAATTTGTGAAAGTATCAGACAATGCTGATATGATGGCAAGACCATTGCTAGTCATATGCATGCCTGTCGTTAATAAATCCTGCATCTTTTTACCAGCATCGCTGGTGGTGTTCTCAAACTCATCCAAGCAAGTGTCTTGGTATGTAAGTGCACCACTCAGCCAAACTTTTAAGTTCATGAGGATTTTATCAACACTCATCAGGTTAAACTCGCTCATTCCAATAAATGACCTTTCTAACTCCGAAACCGAAAGATCCATGAGTTGTCTGCATGTTTCGAGTGCCATCTTGGCTCTGGGCTCCTTCTCAATGTCATGCAAGATATTCATTTCTTCGAATTTATCAGTAATTTTTTCAATGGTGATATTGAAAGCAAGTTTGATAAGTTCGTATGGATTTGTTGTTGTGCTGTCTCCGACACCTGCCATGAGATTTTCCTCACATTCTTCCTTGTAATTCGTGGGATTACAAAGGGTTTGGACGGCTTTTACAGAGGCAGTAACATGTTCCTTTTTGTTATTAACATTATCACCATTTCCATTTGAACCACTCTCATTGAGGCTGATACCAAACACGATAGCCCCAACTACAGCCACCAAGAACAAGGTTGAAACACCAATGATGATCCTCTTTCCCTTATCATCATTTCTCTCCGACATTTCAAGTATGTAAAGCTCCTGTATCATACATGGATTTAGTGTAAAGTTAGTGAATGTGACAAAATTAATAAAAATAAACATGACATTTCATAAACATGTTTTTTGAATTCTAAACATGATCTTGTTTTATTTTGACCCTCGTCTTTTATCGCTAGCGCATGACATGCATGCAACTAGTGTTAGCAATTAACAACAATGTTTTTCTTTTCTTTTTAATTTTATTAGCACAATTCACAACAATGTGTTATCTGTTTGCATATATATTGTCATCATCATCAATAAGGACAATTTCAGAAATTCTAAAGATTCAAACAAATAAACAAATTTTTCTTCAGAAAGATTCAAAATCAAATAAAGTCATGTAGGCATATAATATTTCATAGAATGAATAATAAATAATGTGTATGTTTATTTACGTACTCTGTGAAACAAGAACCTTACTGATGAAAAGTGGAGAGAAATGAGATCCCTATTCTCTATC